CCCCCTCCTCCGGCCCCTCTGTCCCTCCTCATCGAATCGAGCCGTCGAGCGGGGAGGGGGGAGGGGTAAATAGCACATGTGAAACAGGAAAAGCCGCGAGACAATACGACCCCCCCCCCTTCTACCAATTCTCAGATTTTCCCCAACTTCCTGCCACTTTTTCCAAAATTTCCCGAGAACTTCCCTTTTTCCCAAAAATTTTGCTGTCGAGCGGGGGGCGGGTATATACTACACATGAAAGGAAAATCACGAAAAGTCAACCACCACTCCCACACTCCTAGAAAGGCCAAAAGTAAATACGACCCCCCTCCCAACAATGAGCAAGTACGACCCCCCCCCCCTTTTACAACGTCCGTGAAGCGAGAAAAATCAACTATCAAAATAAATTTTTCTCAGCCCAAATACGACCCCCTCTCCTGGCGGCCAAATACGACCCCCTGTTGGAGATTCCCCAACAACGATGTGCCCTGGTGCCGAATTCAGTGGTAGTCGCACCTCATATCCTTCCCTGTTTTCAAACGTGAGACACTCGACTTGGTACTGTCCAGGAAATCTTGCGTGGGCGGCTTCGGCATGTTCAGCAAGTGCACGATGGCTCTGAATTCAGGTAATTACAACCCCTCCATGAACTGATCACAAAGAAACTTTGCGAAGATTCTAGTACTACCTGCACTTCTTCTTCACACAATGGGCATTGCATATTTTGTTTTTTCGAATGATCCCGGTGTTGTGTTGATTTATGAGCACTCAGTGCTCCCTTCGAAGCATGCCAAGTGCCGCATATATCACACTGTACATTGAAACCCCTTCGATAGAGTTTTGATCGCTCTGCCACTTCCTCGGCATACCCATTACTAGTGAAGAGATGAGGGTGCGAATCTTGTCCTTCTTCCAGCCCGCATTCAGGAGACAGGTTTACCATTCTCCTGCAATATCAAAGCAGTTACCCCATCTAGAATGAGTAATAAATTGCCTCTCAAAATTCCACAAGTGATCGCTGTAAGGCCCAAATGCCGCGCTCATAACGTACACTTATACGACATGATTCGAGGAATTTGAAACGAGGAAATACACGAAATAAGCCTCCCAACATGGAACAAAAACAGAACAGCACTAATATTTGCTATTACTGCTGCAGTTAACCTTTCCTATCGTTAGAGTAAGTCTGCAAGATGGTAAGTACGAGGGGGGGGGGGGGGTCGAAAAGAGGAAGAAGTCAGGGTAGGCAGCGTTCACATTTCGCGAAGGTAGCACTTCAATTGCGCACGCTTTTGACTGCGTCGTTCGACGAAAGCATGCGCGATCGACACTTTCGCGAAGTCTGAACGCTAGGGGTATATAGGACAACGAGTTTGAAGACACTTCACAGAAATTTGTAGTAGCTCAAGAGGAAAGTGTGACATCTCTGGCCCTATGTCATATTAAAACTATTACTATCCAATTTCTTCCGAAAACAGGCCACATTTTGACCGACCTTTTTCTAAGGCTTCCTTCATATCCGGCGACCGCCCTGCCGACGTTTTCGGCGACTACGTTCAGAAGAGCAGATGCGTATCGATCCGGTGTGATCGCCATGATCGACATAACCGACGTCATTGATGTAAGCGGCTACAGAAGATTAGATACGTATCGGCCGACGTCGAAAACGTCGGTTACGTTCGCCGGTTACGTCGATTACGTTGGGTCAATACGTTTTTCAACTTCGCGAACTGGTCGCCGAAAGTCTGGAACGTAGGTTACATAAACATTGCCGCCGTCGTCGTAAGGTATGAACGCAGCCTAAGGGGGCAGATTCGATAACCTGCGCTCTGCTAAGTAAGGCTGAGCCTGACTTGATGGCTCCCTCTTCCAGGCTCAGCCTTAGAAGAGTAAGTGGTGGTGTCGAGAAATAAATGTCATAATCGTGAGGATACATGGTGCAGAAATGCGGAATATGCAGAACTGCGGAACATGCAGACAGAAGATGTATACGTATCGATTTGAAAACCGCATTTCTGCAAATTCCGCGGAATTTGCAGAAATGCAGAAAATGACGGACAAAGAAGTGATGGGGATCGATCGATTCGTTTCTGCCGTCGTGCGGAATTGGGAGAAATGCAGAATCTGCAGATTCCGCGGAATTTGCAGAAATGCAGAAATTACGGACAAAGAAGCGATAGGGATCGATCGGTCCATCGGCATTTCTGCAAATTCCGCACTTCTGCATATTCCACGGTTTTTGAAATCGATAGACATATTTTCTTTTTCTGCAAGTTCCGCGGTTCTCCCAATTTCCACAGGTCTGCAAATTCCGCAGTTCTGCACATTCCGTGGTTCGGCATTTCTGCATCATGTATGAGGCCGCGTTCATACATGATGCAGAAATGCAGAACCACGGAATGTGCAGAACTGCGGAATTTGCAGACCTGCGGAATTGGGAGAACCGCGGAACTTGCAGAAAAAGAAAATATGTCTATCGATTTCAAAAACCGTGGAATATGCAGAAGTGCGGAATTTGCAGAAATGCCGATGGACCGATCGATCCCTATCGCTTCTTTGTCCGTAATTTCTGCATTTCTGCAAATTCCGCGGAATTTGCCGAAGTGCGGAATCTGCAGAATCTGCGGATTCTGCATTTCTCCCAATTCCGCACGACGGCAGGAACGAACCGATCGATCCCTATCATTTCTTTTTCCGTCATTTCTGCTTTTCTGCAAATTCCGCGGTGCCAACGTCGAAAGCGATTGTCATACTCGTGACCAAGACATCGAACTACCCTAATGAGAGATAGTAGTAATTGAATAGTGCAGTTTGGGATCAGTTTGGGAATCTCGCAACTGTTCGAGGGCTTTGCTAAAGAAAGTTTAAGATATTGGTAAGTGCGTTTCTGTCACTTGGCAGAAAAGACAGTTCGGAAGAAAAGCGAAACACACAAAACAAAGTAATGAGTTAATTTCTGGCCAAGACCACCCTCTTGGACCATGACGTAAATTGTATTGTCGCCGTGGATGCACACACCACACGCAATCTCACGCCAACACGTGATCGAATCCGGTTACGGGGCTGTTGTCAACCAGACGTGCTCTCGCTGCGAGGGTCCAGGGTATTTTCACGAGGCATCTACCAGTCCAGTAGTTGGAGGGAGAAGGTAAAGGAGGAGGGATCAGAGAAGGAAGGAAGGAAAAGAAGGAAGGAGGAAGAAAAAATGAAAGAGAGGAGAGGCTTCCGGTTGACAAGTGCCCTGAGACGATTCGAATCCACCTGCAGGGGAGTTCGTTCACAGAGTGCTCTTTTTCAGAAACACTTTTTTGCATTTTGTAAAGTTTCGCACATAGATCAGAGAAAAGTGGTTTTTCGCTGAGCGGTCCCAAGAATGCCAAAAAAGGAGCGAAGAAATCTGTGGAAAGGATTGTTTCTCCTGAGCATACTGCATTGCGCCTGTTGACCCCCTGCCAATTACCATTGCAGAGTGAGAGATTACTATAAAGGGAGTGTGAAAGTTGTGGTAAATGAGGTCTTACTGTGTCATCTGATTGTGGTTTTTTCAAGGTATGGAGCTGCTGAGAAGGCGGGATCACTCCTCCACCCGAGAGAGTACTCGGTGAATTGTGTAAGGAGAACAAGGAGAACCCCCTTCCCTTGCCCTTGAGTCCCCAAAACGCTCCCATATAAACGGCAAGCTGCGCCGGAGTTTTGTCCGCTCGTCGGATGAAAAGCGCCTTGAGTTGGCAACTAATCGACCCGTTCTTGATGGAAACGTTCGCGGGGCCTGTAACAAATGTTTTGGATTACCCTTTCGTTTTTATTTTTGTGCTAACTGCTTACACTTTTCATTCAGAATCCAAACAAAATATTCGTGTTACATGTTTCTAGGGGGAATGTATCAAATTGGAAACGTGCGCATTTATCATTTGCGAAGGGAATTCATTCTTATTCAACGTGTCCACTTGAATTTCAGGTATGGAACCTCCCAGCTACGTCTATGCAGACACTCGCCAACGAGCTAGTAGCACAGGTTTAGGTCAGCAATTTGCATGGCGTTGCTTTTTTTTGCATAAATTTTGTCATACACAAGATTTTGTGCTTGAAACTGAACTTTTAGTTTCAAAGATATCTTTTTATCCATTAAACTGTTTAGGAACCTCAGCATCAACCGCGCCTCCACCACCAAAAGCAGATTCTGTACCGTTTGACTTCCAGTCGCAACTTGGACACATGGTTAGTTTTGTAATTGTGCACATTGATTGCTACCAAACGTTTCCCAAAAATTAGGTATGTCGCTTTGTAGGTATGGGAAGCAGGAACAAAGCAGGTGCAGGATACATTCAAATCTTATGGAAGAATTGATTTATTTCGACCATATTTCGACGTGGAACCTAGTCAGGTGATTTTGCCCAATTTGAAAGAATTTCACTTGTTCTTGTTGTTCTTTTCATTTTCCGGATAATATCTGTCACAAGCAAGTCACTAAGGTCTCGCTATTGTTTAAATAAAAGCTTTCGACCGCATCATACCTTTGGGATGGTGAACTTGGGAGGTAGACGAATTGGAATTGTTTGGCGTGCATCTCTCGATTCGCGCATTCTCCTATGAGGTTACATCATTATCATGGCAATCACAACGAGGTCGTATTTGGCTGTGGTGAAGGGACTCTCTTTTTCTTATCGCTTCAGGAGGTTTACTGCTGTGTCCCCGCTAAGTGTCCTCGTCTCCGTTAGGCAGCGAAATCCTGGGAAAATTGGTAAGAGGAAAGGTAGTTAACAAAAAAGCTACATGACTGACGTTTTTGACAGTCTGGCGGATTATATAGATGCTATGAGTTTCTCCAGTAACCTGTGAAACATGTGTCTCGTTTTAAAATGGTCCGGATGCGTTAGGAAAGCGTTTACACTTTGCGACAGCATTTTCAGCATGCGCTAGCGTTTTGAGCGACTAGGGATCGATGTTGATCTAGCATTTTGAGAGTAGCCATACTTTTGATCGTTTCGCCGGTAGTTTTGATCTTTTCTTAGGCAGCCGTTGAATGATCACTATACTTTCTTAGTCGCTCAGAACGCTGTCGTACACTCAACGCGCTGACGCAAATTATGAACGCAGCCTGATGTTCGACATCAGGGTAGAATCTACCGTTCAGGTGCGTATTCGCCTCCTACGGTCATTTGTGCCACGTCGGCCATCTCAGATGGTGACTTCTCCTGATCTCTATGGTCCATCGATGGTTGTTCTTACAATGGTTGCATTGCTTTTGTTTAACATGAAAAGTAGCGGGTGAGATTCACATGCGAGTTATAACTTCTTCGTTCAGTAGCTAAGAAATCACATTACAGATATGTAGTTCCAAACGGTACCCTCATGGGCACTTCATTTTTTGCTTGCTTCGGCTCGTGGCTGTTCATTATCCGGACTACTCTACGTGCTCTGTTTCCTTTTCGGTGCTGAGATTCCGATGCTGCACCTCGTCTCAGTCTTTGTAAGTTTCGTTCGACAGCACAGTGCAGAGCAAGAGTACTTTGTTTCCTAAACGATCCCCGCATTGGCTTTTCGTGAGCACAGTCGAAGTATGAAGACACTAAGGACAGCGTTCAGACTCCGCGATCGATGCAGTCGAAGCATGCGCATCGATCGTCAGATAGCGCGACTGAAGCGCTGCAGTCGCGAAGTCTGAACGCTGCCTGAATGCGCTCTGGCCGACTCGGTACCAGCCTTAATAAATTTCCATGAACCGAGTGTTCGATGGGACATGACGAGAATGATCATGTCCAAATTCACCATCTTTATTTTAATTGGACCCATTCATCCAAACAGGTACGAATTTGCAGGGTTACTCAATGACGTCTCATTGTCTCGTTCTACTGCTGACCTCTATTTATCATACCTCGCATGATCATCTATATTTCTTCGTTCTGGTTGGGATATTTTGCATCCCAAGCGCCATCAGAATGGTATGCACTTCCCTTACGATTAGTAAAGTCATTGTTGGCGTTTTCATACAAAAATGTCGCCGCATGCAATCTGATTTTTTAATGAGCAACAAACAGAAAATTTTCTATTGAGAGGAGTTTAGGGTCTCTTGGTGTGCATACATGCACGTATTCCATCGCATCGTGTGGTGCTAGCTGGAGCAGCAATCGCTCTTCACACTGCTCTCATCTTCTACCTGCACTTCGGTTTCCACGTCATGCTTGAAGGTGGGTCATGAAATAACATTTCCTAAAGGAAATAATGTTTCTATCTGCTTCCTTGGCCAGTGAGAGGAGCCGTGGCCTCGTCGCGAGAGGGTCGCGCTTCACTCATATATTTTTGAGCTGCGCACCCTGCTTGCAGGCAGGACTACCACTGTGACTACTGTCCAAAAGACCCGAACATCAAATCAACACGGGGCTTGCCTTTAAGGCTATCCAAGGCGGACGCTTGTGGAGAAGAAAACATT